CCGGTATACGCCAGCTGAACTGTTTTGGAGGTACCTATATGCCCGAGGATATGTCATGGATGGGAACTTCCACGCCGAGCAAATGAAAATGCGCAAGCCCGAGAACGACGTACCGTTGATGCCGGGGAAAATGTTCATGGTTCATCCCGGCCCATACGAGGAGCACCTGAAAGTAGCGAAGGACGTGAAGATGGTGAGGGTGTTTACATCGGCCATGAGAACGTCTGGCTAACACGCCCACAGCACTCAAGCTGCAACGACCACAAGGCGGTCTCCCAGGCCAACGCCGACCGGCATAAGCTGGCTGTCACCGGGATCGGCGCAACATCTTGTTTGAGGCACGGGTGCTTTGTTCCGCACTCGGTAGTGAACTATCAGAAGGGTGAACGTCAGATGAACATGGACTACTCCCTTTCCAACGCCCTGGGCTATCGGTCAAGGGGGATTGGGCACGTTTACCTCTCGTACGACATAATGTGCCAGTACCATGTCCATCTCGACGACCGGTTTGACCAGAATCCCCACCTGGAGATGCCCGGTGGCCTTGTGTTATACAAGTGCATCGGGCTCTTTCACATTCATGGTCATAAGGCCGAATGCGAACTCCGGCACTCTCTCACATTCACCGAGGGTGCCGGGCAAGCTGACGGCGAGATCATCGAAACCCAATGGTCGGGGATCAATCCCGTGTCGGGTAGTACACGCACAATGTCAACATCCCATCGGCAAGAAACACTCGACCGGCACATGAACAACTGGAATTGGAAGAAAATGATCACTATGGGTAGGCCTCTCACTGATCTTCGGAGAGAACACCGGGCTGACAATTGATAGTGGCATCGCTGAGAAGGAAAATCAAAGCGAACCGCCCACTGCTGGCGGAGATGAAGGCCGACCTGACCGCGAAGGAGGCCAGTGTCGATGCCGAAATTCTGGGAGCGTGGAGGAGGGAACTGAGGATAGTACAACGGAAAAGGCTTCGGGATGTCAAGGTAATGGATAGATACCAAGCCAAGAAACAAATCAGTGGGTCCACTGGCCACCCAGGCTGATTTAGGTTCTGATATGATCACAGTGCCATCCCGGCTCGAGCTTCAAATAAAGCTGGCGGAAGAGGAGGGAGAGGGCGAGGATCGCGTCGGGACAGCGGACTGGATCGCAGATGGCCTCAAGCTTGAGGAGCAACAGTAAGCGTTCCACACTCATTGTCCGGTGTGTTTCTGACGTAAGTCCAGACTCGGAATCCAGAAGGACGTGAAGAAAATGGGGGCCATCGTTACTCGGCCGCAGGAGCTGAAACTGGCGAAACGGAGGAAGACTCTTGAGATCCAAATCCGGCGTTTCCACAGGCGAGCGGCTGCCATTCACCGAAGGCATGACTGGGGCATCGCAGAGCAGGATGCAGTGGAAGACGATTCGGGGGATGAATGGGAGGAGGACCGCAACGACGACAGCCCATGGCGCCTCTTTTCAAGTCTACCACCAGCTCCGTACCCGTCAAAGGCGTCCGAGCATACCAAACTCGGCCTACCGTCCAATTTATCCCGGAATGCACTTGCTGCAAATGGGTTGCAACGATTGGCGGCACATGAGCTGACCCTCCGCCGTGGACAGGCAAATGATGCGTTGCAGCAGCTGAGGATTCTCATTGGCAAGAAGTCATTCGAGTTCCAGACCACCATTCGGCACGGGAGGAGGGAAGGCCACACAAAGCGCACCCGATCCTTCACGAAGTTGGGGAAACTCGACCGAGCTGTGCAGCTTCAAGCTGCCATTTATCGCCGGGCCCGAGCCGCCATGCAAGTACTTGGCGTCTCGGGAGAAGAGCAGGCAAAGTACAAGCAACTTACAACGGATGATCTCAACACAGTGACCGCAATCGCCGAGCCTAATAAGCCGGGACAAAGGCATAAATCGTCCTCGTGGATATGGAATGTCGACGTCGGTGGCGACATGCGGAGCGATGACGAACTGGGAATCAGTAGGAAACATGCGCGTACAACATTGGAGTCTTTGCTGACATTGAGTACAGTTCACCGGGTACAGTGGTTCCACGCCCGGTCAAAGGTTGACAGATTGGAGGAGGAAGCTGCAATCTTGCGCCGGGAGCTTGACTCCGTGTGTCGATACTTTGCCAACGAAGCATCCCGGTGGCGGCAGCTGGCAACGAGAAACACGGAGGCCGAGTACCCCGGGTTCTCACAACACTGCCGGGCACAGGCTGCACTGTTTGATCGGCTGCATCAAGATGCGATGGTGGCATGGCGGGATTTGTACATTGAACCGAATGTTATGACATAGCTGTACCGACTGTCCATTGATACAGAAAATGTCTCTCCGGGAGAATACCATCATTCCGACGACATTGCTCCCAGGGTCCGAGCAATAGGCCCAAGCCATACATCGCGCACAGCTCCTCCGTGAACCCAACTCCGAGCCCGAGTACATCCCCGAACTCTCGGCCCGAGCACTGTCCCGAGCTCTCGGCCCGAGCACCGTCCCGAACTCTCGGCCCGAGCACTGTCCCAAACTCTCGGCCCGAGCACATGTGCCAAACTCTCGGCCCGAGCACACTCCCGAATTCTCGGCCCGAGAATTTCAAAGAACTCTCGGCCCGAACACTGTCCCAACCGCGCGGCCCGAGTGCAGTCCCAACCTCTCGGCCCGAGCACTTTGGAAAACCTCGGCCCGTGCACTTTCTGAACCTCTTGGCCCGGCCTCGGTGCAGGGAGTGTCCGTTAGAATGCGGTACACCTCTATACATAACATTGGCATCCCAATGACCTGCCGGTCGTGTGATCTTAGAGGGACTGGCAGTGCGTTTAGAGGGACACACCGATTGCATGATAAATGTGACCGGGCAAGGATTGTTATATTCCATGCCAGGTCTCGGGTAATTAGTGAAGGGCCTTTGGCATTCAAAACTCTAATGCAAAGCACGATAGCAGGAGACAAGCGCCACTACAGTTATGACGAGGTGGTCAACCCTCTAACAGTCCATCCCGTGCCTCAACAACATCAAAAAGCAACATGATTCTTTCCAGGCGATCATCGGTGTCGGGAACACGCATGGATACTTGGCTTCTTTCGTATGTGACCGACAAAATAACCTGCCCGAACAGATATCGGGTGATTGAATATGTATTCGGCCGCCCGGCGACAATCTCGGCATGCCTAAGTAATAATGTTACCAGGGCGCTCTCCAATGAACCGTGGGAAGCACTCACGGGGTGGACAATGCAAATGCAAGGAGCTCCCATCTGAAAAACGGAAATGTTTCCGGAATGTATGACTGCCCATCTCGGTTAATGCACGAGATGGGATTGGTGGGAGCAACGGGAACACACCATATCCATATTGGAAGAGAAAACAAATGTGAGCTGAATGTAGAAGGACGGCGTGATGGGGGTGATTAAGCACAAATACTGTCACACCACCCGAATTGCGAGAAGTCATGTCTCGGCAATGTGACACACGTGCCGAGCATCCCATACCAAAGAAGGTAACCCTCCCAGAGTCGAATCACGTGCTCTGGATTGGAGATCAGTTACCGATAAGACCTCCATCGCACTGTGTCCACATCAACTACCATTGCGATTACACAGCCCGCGCACTCTTCACCGAGAACCTCATAGTCAACATGAATGCAATCCTCGCCAAAGTGTTGGAAGACATCAAAACCAATCTCATGATTCCCAAGACTCTCCAAACGCTTGCCGAAGCGAATGGCAATCCCGCTGCGGCCGGGGCACTTGACAACTTCGTTGTCGGCCTGGTGAGTGTGCCAGGTACTGCTTACGTAGACTCACAGCAAACGAACAACTTAGTCGGTTTCTGCCCTCATGATTGGCCTTCAGGAGCTCCTGAAGGCCGACGTCGCCGAAGCCTACGGTCTCACCGACGCCATGTCCGCCTACTGTGAGATTGTGGCCCCCCCGGGTGCCGAAGAGGTGGACATTGTTACGAATGTAATCAAGGGAACCACAATGGTTGGCGATGGTCAAAATTCAACGCCGGACTATCTCCCGAGAATGCCAGTCTCGGGCGGAGAGCACATAGGTAATGTTCGGGCCGATGCACGCATCCCCGGTGATACTAAATCCGTGGCATGGGAAGGCGCGGTAAATCAAACCGTGAACGACCTACCCGCGGGAATCACTACCCCGGAAGCAATGCTGGAGGAATTGAGAGCAAACCAGGCTTGTATGGACGACATCATCAAAGACCAGCTCCAAGCATCCAAGGATCAGCTTCGGCGTGTCTCGCAGCATCTCGAGTTGGAGAAATTGCGGGTACGTCGAATGGATGACCTATCACCCTGCTAAACGGGCATGCTAATGCATGTCTTAGGACAAAGTCACTGTTCGCGCCGAGCAAATTAATCGCGTACACCTGCCCAGATTTCCGCTCCCGGCGAAACTCTGCCCGGATGAAATGCCGGCCAGTATGCCAAACAATATGATGAAATGGTTGCAGCAATTGGGGAAGGCGATGAAAACCATGGACATTTACATACAGGCAGAGCTGAACTTTTGGCATGCTGCCGCCCGGGCCAATGCGGCCGAGCTGGAAGCCTGGCAGCGCGGGGAGACTCCAACGGCCCCGGCAGCAGTGTCGTACTTCCGGGTGATTGAGTCTGCATTCAAGTAATGTTCACCGTGGTATTGTATCAGACTCCAAAGTAGTGCACAATGAGATGTCGATGTTACTGAGATGTGCCTGTGTTTCCCCGGTCAAACCTACGTAATGTCCCGGTGTGCGTTATGCGCATCAGAGCATATTGTGATCAGCAAAGAACATGGATTGCTTATGGACCCCGAAGCGTACAGCTACGGAGTGCCAAATGTACAGCCATTTCCCTTCGCTAACCACTCTCCCCGCCTCCCGGTCCTCATTCTCCAGTGCTGCGCCAACCGGCAGAAGGCACATTTGCCCAACGATGTACATTCCGTCGCATAAAATACGCTACACACAACCGCTCCGCAGATGAAAGCGGAACCTCATGGGGGAGGCGAGTGCCCGAAAACGCTGTCACTGTACCACTGTGATAGGGAAGCCTGAGATGCAATGTCGGGAACCGGATACCTGCTCGTGATCGCCCCCGATGGTCATCAAAATGTCATAGACATTCAGAGGAGTCATCTTGTCGCGATGAACCGGGCTTGCGCGGTTTGTCACCACCGAGAGCGCATTGAATGGGTTTTGCCACGTATCCACAACGCTGGCCCGGTCTGGATCGCTTCGCAAGGCTTCAACCGAGGCAATACCGGCGTCATATAAATCCGGGTGCATAATGTGCAGCATACCGGAGATGATGATATGCGGATAGATCATCTCGGCCAACCACGCCCGGCCAGCGACGGCAGTGTTCGGATCGGCGAGCAGTCGAGAGACACTTGGCACATCGTCCGCGCCCTGCTCGTTGTGAGAGAAATAATGTCGCAAACGTATTGGAATACGTACGTCGTGTCCGAGCTGGAACCATCCCGGTGAAAACGACACACATGCCGGGACGAGCTCGTCCCCCTCCTGCGGCTGCCGGAAGTTCGCGATATTCTCCCTCCAGCCCGCGCTAGCCTTCGGGCGGTTCCGGGCCAAGAGTGGGTTGAGGTCCATCGTCGCATCCCATATTACACCCTTGTATTTATGTATTGTTTTAGAGACCGTCGGCAAAAGCCCTCTGGATTCCGGCGTACCTCAAAGGGCTCTATGATCACGCCGGGAAGATGCCACAACAGCATCCGGCCCTTACTGTCTTCGATGGTGAGCGGATCTGCGCAATCATCGTATTGCACCGTGGCCAATTCATCGTCGTCCGGGACGGCACATGGATGAGTTGTTGCATCCCACGGCAAAGTAACTGTTCGTGAATGAGTAAATGACCATGGAAGCTGACAACTTATGGGCACGTACGTCGATTATTGAACGCCTTTGCAAGCATCTCAGCTGCACGCCGGGCTTGGCGGACGAGATACACATCGAGGAGTAGTCCGGGGAGTGGAGCACGCGGGGCGCGCGATTCCGGTGCCGAGAGGAAGCGAAGATACATCGCGTCCAAATACGAGAAGTACTGGACGCGCACCTGCTCCGGTGTGATCATCGTATGAACGAGGCAGAGACAGGGGAATGAGCAGTGTCGCAAGGGTTCAAGGCAACGCAGAGATATATCAGCCAGACATCCCCGCACAAAACCGGCCTCGTGGGTACCTTCCGTTCGCCATGAGGCTACCTCATGCCCTGGATAAGATCACGAGTGGATGCCTCCACCCGCAGCATAGATCAATAGTTATCCACATTGATGTGAAATCACAATATGATGTCCCATCACCAAAAGTAGCGTAGCCCCTTGGACAATGTATCACCCGAGTGGCCGATGTAATCTCGGGGTGCCGGTTTTGCAGACAGGCAAGGCCGGGCGCAGCGGGACGCGCTCCGGCCGGAGCGTTGGAACCCTGGGGAAATACGCCGGGCGGAACGCTGAGCAGTGGGGTGGGCTGGGACGCACTCCGGCCGGAGCGTTGGAACCCTGGGGGAAATACGCCGGGCGGAACGCTGAGCAGTGGGGGTGGGCTGGGACGCACTCCGGCCGGAGCGTTGGAACCCTGGGGGAAATACGCCGGGCGGAACGCTGAGCAGTGGGGGTGGGCTGGGACGCACTCCGGCCGGAGCGTTGGAACCCTGGGGGAAATACGCCGGGCGGAACGCTGAGCAGTGGGGGTGGGCTGGGACGCACTCCGGCCGGAGCGTTGGAACCCTGGGGGAAATACGCCGGGCGGAACACTGAGCAGTGGGGGTGGGCTGGCACGCACTCCGGCCGGAGCGTTGGAACCCTGGGGGAAATACGCCGGGTGGAGCGTTGAGCAGTGGGGGTGGGCTGGCACGCACTCCGGCCGGAGCGTTGGAACCCTGGGGGAAATACGCCGGGCGGAACGCTGAGCAGTGGGGTGGGCTGGGACGCGCTCCGGCCGGAGCGTTGGAACCCTGGGGGAAATACGCCGGGCGGAACGCTGAGCAGTGGGGGTGGGCTGGGACGCACTCCGGCCGGAGCGTTGGAACCCTGGGGGAAATACGCCGGGCGGAACGCTGAGCAGTGGGGGTGGGCTGGGACGCACTCCGGCCGGAGCGTTGGAACCCTGGGGGAAATACGCCGGGTGGAGCGTTGAGCAGTGGGGGTGGGCTGGCACGCACTCCGGCCGGAGCGTTGGAACCCTGGGGGAAATACACCGGGTGGAGCGTTGAGCAGTGGGGGTGGGCTGGCACGCACTCCGGCCGGAGCGTTGGAACCCTGGGGGAAATACGCCGGGTGGAGCGTTGAGCAGTGGGGGTGGGCTGGGACGCACTCCGGCCGGAGCGTTGGAACGCTCGGGGAATAGAGGCCGGGTGAAGCGTTCAGGATGGGATTTGAAGAGGGGAGGGCCGGCCGCAACGTTGGCGACGAGGTCGAACCGGCCGGCATGCTCTCCGGCCGGACCGCTGGCAACGATCACGTCTGCAACGTGGACCCGGACCCCTCCGGCCGGCGCCGGCCGCCACGTTCGAGACGGCCGAATCTCACTCCGGGTTTAACGTTCCGAACGTTAAATCTTACTCAGTAGGCTCCAGACAGGCGGTTGAGTAGTGCGAGAGAGGACGGGCTAACCACGGGGAAAACAGGTAAGTGGGTGATTGTATATGCTGTTGTTTGTGCTGACGAAGGTGTTCATTCCGCCAGCATTACCTTCAGCACCAGCATTTGCTTGTCTATCCACCCGCCGCTTTCTTCTGTCCGTGCTTCCTCTCTTTCGCCCGCGCTTCCTTTCGCCCGCGGTCGCACGGCCTTTCGCACACCCGCTCGCACGGCCTTTCGCCCCGCCTGCTCGCCCGCCGCCCAACTGCTCGCGCTCCCTCGGCGACACGCATGGCGACCGGCAGCATGCACTGTGACGAAGACCACCACAGCCGTGCCCGCGTTCAACACGAGGATGGACTGACACCCAGCAATGCAACACGAGACGAACGTACCTATGCATACTCGCAGCATGACGACGACCCGCCCGCTCGCGCCATCTCGTCGTGCTCGCATGCGCGAGCCTTCGTAAAGGTGACCATTGCCTGTGCGGCTGTGCCGGATGACTCGGATTCGCTCGTAAAACTACCGCAGATAGCGGAAACTCCGGCGCATACCGCACTTTCAGCAGTCAGGGTTGGTGATGACAACTGTCAGGCTGCACGAGAAGTACGTCCTACTCGAGGTGTAGCTTAAATAATGCAATATATCTTGTTACGAAGGGTCTACGAGTACATTGCATACACCTCAATGTTCTTGCGTCCTTTGCCTGAACGACTGATTCTGGCAATTACGTGGCTTCTCGTGCCATATGAGTATTTCTAGCTCGTAGCGAGAACTCAGTAGCATGTGCTCGTATTGCATTGTATTACGAACAGATTACGAATGTATGCACAGACGGTGTGTACAGTAGTGAATAATGCTGTGAATAATGTCAGAATAGTGGAGTATAATTTGGATGCTGCGTATTGTCGAGAATGTGAGCCAACACACCGTAATTCTCCGGAGAGGTTTTTCCTGATGTGAACGGGAGTGTGGTAGAGATTCACGGCGGACTGAAGGTGCTGGAGTGTTAATTCTTGCACGAAACGGAGACTTGGAGCCGCACTGAACATGAACAGATGGTAATCAATTGATCGACTCCGTCTAGTTTTCATACTGGTGTGCATGTTCCGCGGTCGGCGTAGTGTCCAGGTGTGTCGTGATATGCATAGTGGCCGTGGACTCATCTTGCCTTCTACTAAGATAGAACCGGTACGTGTTGCATCCAGATCTTACGAGCGTTTGAGTATTGATCGTGCTTCATCCCGACGAACAGAAACGTACATACAGACGGGGATTTTTGTTGAGTCCTCTTCAGGTTGTGCACCGCGGCGTTTGGCCCACCCTTTCTGGTCCAGCCTAGATAAGCTCCTACCGACAGCCCGCACGTACTTCACGGAGAATTGTGATACAGGTACATACTCCTGGTGGGCCACCCCACACTGTCAGAGTGTCAGCGGGTCAGCAAACCCCGAAGACGGAGGCTAAGCCACGTCGATACGCAGCCTGCGCCGTCAACAGTGCATGCGGCTGACAGTGGAGCGCGGCCACCAGGCTCCGCCGGAGCCTCATAGATGGCTTGCCGTGCGGTTTTTGTGCCGAGCTGTCAAGGCCTCCAAGAGCCTGCCTTCATCACTCTCATCAAGCCACTCCCTGTGTCACGAGTCTCTATTCTATAAATTGAGAGCTGGTGAGTTGCAATGCCTTCGATATCGTTGTGGTGATTGCGAGTCCCCGGTGCGTGGACGACGCGGAAGGGAATTCTTGGTATCGGTGAAAACGATGGGCGGGGGTCGTTGGTACCAGTTGACGGTTGGCGGAGGAAGCGAGTGAGGTCCGTGGTACCTCACGGAGGAAAAGGGGAATGGGGTGGTGTACCGCACGCTTCGTCCGCGCTGTCCTTTAGTGAAGATCTGCCTTTCCTGAGCCTGGTATACTCGATAGCCTTCCCTCCGACGTTCCTAACCTGAGTTCTCCTCGATCCTGAGCCTGAGCCTACTTATGCGACCTCCTTAGCCTGAACGCGAGCCTGAGACGAGACCTGAAGCCTGAGATTGCCCGGCGCAACCTAGATACTGAGTCCTGAGAGGTAGTGGTAGGTAACTAACTCCCCCTTTCCTCCGCCCCGTCCTCCTAGCCCCTTCCGCTGCCTTTCCCACGTCCCTACCTCGCTGG